GGTATTGCCTTATAAAACTTCTTAACGTTTTGAAACGATAAGTTGTAAATTTAGCAAACTAGGCCCGATTCGATCGGTCAAGCAGCGAATCCAATTGTTCCAACTCCTAGAGATTGTTCTTGAAAGAAATGTTCGAGTGCAGAGAGATATCTATAGATCAACTCACGAGAACTCATGCGCTGAATATTGGAAGCTCGAGAGATATATGTGAGTGGGAGCGAAGTCAGATGTAATGCATTCTTCTTGACTACGACATCCATACGTACATGTAGCTCTCCATGATGTCATTGATGTGTGTTGGTTACCTACCGTCTAAATTGCCTTGCCACAAGTAAGTTGGGGTAGATCTTCCGGAAGTGGGCCAGATTGACAACTAGTGAACCAAGCGTCATAACGAACAATTAGACCAGCGCCGACGTCACAAGCCAGTGAAGTTTTCATCTAAAATGCGCTTATTAATAAAATTTGATGCAAACTGGTATTTATACGCATAGTGCACATGCAAGTACCGTACAGGTCCAAAAGGTCGGAGTTGTCTTCGCACAGATGTTTACGTTGATGAATTAGCTAGTCATTACTGTCTATATACAAGTACAAACAGGCACTAGAGATTCCAACTACAATATGATGTCCGAGTCTCTGTCTATAACTTATCTTATATGTGTTCCCTTCCAGCGACGGACACGCCCATTCAGGAACGGTCGTGGATGGACATCCGACTCACGAATTATGGTGTATGAGTTTAGCGCCCCATTTAGGAACACACTGTTATATCTGAAAGGTGCTCCAAGCTATATTACATTATTACGAGCTTCAGGGCACTGGAATATATCTATGTTTTATATAACTAAATGCCCTCTAGCAGACTTTATAATAGATGAGCGGCAAGTGACGAGAACTTGGAGGTATTCTACTACTGTCATTAAACAATAGATTGGAGATTATCAACCGGGTACGTTCACTGACCGCCAACTACGTTCAATGACTGCCAGCTAGGTTCAAGGACTGGCAGCTAGGTTCAATGAATTAGATCAATTATATAGCAAAGCTGGGGCGTACTTGAATGGGAAGCCGCGTTTGTGAAAGCTCCGGTATAGCATTCTGTTCCTGAATCGAATAGGCTACGTTCGTCACTGGGAGGGAACATATATATTTATCGAGAGAAAATACTTATAACTGAGAAGTCGAGGAAATCAATACTAGTGTCGTAGTGTTTATGGAGTCCCAATTTGGGACGTGATCTTAATTATAAGACCATTTTTAAAGATTATAGTTCTATTTAGCCAACGCAGTGAAGGAGACCGCAACTAGCTGGCTAGCCTCTAGTATTGCTTCTGTTTTGCTCTCCGATTCGGCGATTAATACTGTACTCGTAGGATATAATGCTTATATATGATGGTTAAAGTTAGTAAAACGCTATCTTGGGGTGTGCTATTGGGGTCAATCGGGGGTCGGTGTGCTTGGAGCTCTAGGAGGCAGTTTCTATTTGAGGCCTTCTTAAGGAGGCCAGAGAGAGCTGCCTTTGTGACCGCTGCAGCTTGAACTTTTGCGCAAAGAAGCTTGGTAATTGAACAGTACCTGAGGTATATCAGGGTCTGCTTTGCCGTACTGCGATGTATATAGATTGATGATGAATGGTACTACTTATAAGTCGGAAAGCGCAGCCATTTACTAGGGCTGCGCATTTATCCATGCTTCATCAGGCCTATATAAGTATGACTACGTTTCTCTACATATTTCACATGCCTAACGCTGCTCAATCGTTTCTCACTTGCTATTTTACAGCACGTACTGTACCTTTGATAGTCCTTAGAAAGTTTGAAGACGTCCAGCGAATTTAACTTTGTCGTTCGTAATTGCTGACAAATCAATGGAATCCTATCAAGAGGGTGTAATAAGTAAGTACTGAGAGCTCTAGATCTGGAGAGCTCGATCGATCGAATGAGGAACCTCGATCATCAACAGATGGCTTTTTACTCTGCCTCACCACAAATGATTTGAACAAACTAGTGAAATTAGTGCTCCAACTATGTATCTTCGCCTTGCGCTCACCGATGTCGATATGGCAGGACTTAAGTGGTATACAGGCCACTGATTTTGCACCCATTTGGTGATATCAGACTCTATATATCAGTTAACATTAGGCTTCTTATATAGTTGAAAAACAGGTGGTCGCGTGCTCACAGGTCCTCGACAAGCGCAGAAAGCACTGTCTTGTCTTATAATTGTGGGAGAAGTATGTAGATCCAAGCATCGATTGTCCATCGATTCTAAGGATGAATAGAATGATCTATAATTGATGTTGATCCTCTTTTGACTGTAGATATTGGTACAGTCGGTGGGCTAGAGGCCCTTTTATGTATCTGGTTTTCAAAAATATCTGTGAGTTGAGGCTACTGCAGTTACTCGGTGTGAAATATGCCATGCCTAAGGATATTATATTGTTAATACCAGTTGGATGGTTCTACAAACGTCAAGCTACGCTTGTAATAGAGTAAGGTTCGGTTTACAAGGGCCCGTTTGGCTGCTTTGGGGGTTTGAAGCTCCATTTAGTTAATCAAGGGCCCGTTAGATGAGCATGAGGCTGGGAAATCTTTGAGGGTTTGATTTTGATTGTTCGTGTTGAATATTTATGAGAGTTTGCCATGGGTTGTAAAAGTGAAACGGAGTTGGAAAGAACATAGGTAGGACCTACTTTTCAAAACTCTGTTTCAAAGCCGTAATAAAGTTACAAAGCTTTTGCAAAGCGAAGTTTCGAAGAAATGAAATGGAGTTGTTCGTCAAAACGCAGAATTTAACCAAAGCTCAGCCAAACAGCTCTAAGTAATGTCTAGACTATCCGGTTCAGATCTCAAACATCACTAACACATGGCCTGAGCCATTAACAGTGTGTGCACCGTCAAGATTCATTGCTACTGGTCTTATTTATTGTGATTTCTCCAGCTTCCGCTTAGGTTGAAGGCGGGAAAGAAGACTATTAGACATAGATCGACGATAGAGCATCTTTCAAGCGTGAAAGACTGTGGGGTGACTTGATGAGAGTAAAAAGACTGCCTTTTAATGCCATCGAGAAGGTTCCTTAAGACCGTGGCGATTACAGTCATTCCCATGCGCATAGTGGGTAACGAACTACCGGACAATTAACCTCAAGAGTTTGGCAGACAAGATAAAAGGGTTAGTGTACTGTTGTTTGGTCATTGAATGATTAACTGTTGCCTGTAAACCTATCTCAAACGATTTGGTTCCAGGGGTTGTTGGACTTTTTAATGGTTTTGGTGATGAAAACATTGGAGTTAGGGTTATCAGAATCAAGTATGGTTACTTCGGGTCACTTAGGGTTATTTAGGGTTATTTAGGGTTGGGAGAATAAAAACAACTACTCTAGTTGGCAGCTGCACAAGGAGTGTGAGTGAGCACGCCAAGCGCCAAGCGCTGGTCTAACCACAACCGCCCAATGGTGTGGCGGGATCTGCGCAATTTTTTCTGCTGCGCGTTTAGACCTGCTTTAGTAGGAATGAATAAAATTACGACATTCTGAGATCTGCCAAGTCACACTGCAATTACTATCATAGCTTAATTTGTAAGGTTTTCTAGCTCACCCAGGAGTCCTATTATGTATCAACAAGTCACACCAGCTCCCTAAACTTTGATGATGATATTGATCCCATTTATTTGGTATCCCAGTCGAAACACAACTTAAGTACCGACATCTAGCCACCTGTATGCATGCATGCGGCAACGTAGACTCACTATCGGTTCGAAGCTACACTCATTGGTTTGAAAGCGCTGTTCTGAACAGGCGGGGCAAGCCAGAGCAGCAGAGGACCGAATCAGCAAATGTGTACCCGCACCAAACAACCCGATCACAGGGACGCAATGGCTGAGACATGGTGCTGCCCATGGAATCAGATCATGTAAAACAGTTGTGTGAATTCTTGGGTTCGGTAAAATTATCATCCGGATATCCTCTGAGTAATTCCCTGAACACAGCGCGACTAATAGGAATGATTTCTTCTAGCTCAGCCGGCTTCAGAAGAGGGGTAGAGATATGCTGCGTCTTTCTCGCTTCTTTGCTAGGTTATAGAAAGGAGTATATAAGTACTGCATAGATGGTGTATTCCTCACTGAGCCTACAACATTTCTTTAGCAGAAACATTAGTGAAAATTCACAGATAACCAGCTAGCAGTACAGCGGCTTCTTCTATCAGCGCCTGTAAGCCGTAAAACTACATTAATCATTTGGAATGGTTTGTCGCTGGAGTTGATGTGGATATCCCTCATAGCCTCCTTTTGAGGGATAGCCCGAGATATGAGGAGGAAAGAGATCTCAAGACCTCCTGTTTCGCAAATTTGACCACAAAAACATTCACTGTATTTATATACATGGATTAGTAACAGCACGTAGAGTAGGTATAGGACGTAGATATGGCCAAAGCTAAGTTATACCCGTCCAATAGGTATTTGAGCTCAAGACTGCTATGTTTTAGGTAACGGCGTGATCTCTAAAGGAAAAACTAAAGTTCAAGGATCTAGGTATCTCAAGGTTCATGTACATACTACCTTGGAAGGTTCCGATGTATCCGAGTATCACTCCTTATACAGCCTATGGATATATATGGCCGTGTATACGTCTAGGACGTAAAGAAGAACTTGTTTCGACACAGGCACTTGAGATTTCAACTCGTTGCCCTTCTTTCAGGAATCTGTCGTCCGCTCGCCTTGCTATTAGGGTTCAATGTAAGTGTTTGAGCTCAAAATGTCTCTATTAAATCTTTGCAACAGAAAATCTCACGCATTCGAAAAGTATGGGAGTCTTAACGGACTATAACTCCACCCGCCCTGCTGCACTGACAGGTTTATTTCGAGGATCTTCAAACCAAGCATTTTTCGGTTCAGGCATATATTGAGCATCTAGGCTCCCCAGCCTGGAAGAGAGCTAGAGCGGGTTTCAATTTATGATTATAATAATCTTACCGAAAGGTAATTTAATCCCTCTAGTTCTAAGATAAAGATGAGATCGAGTCCCACAGTTTAAGTACAACTGAACGTGGCCCATGAGACACTAGTGACTCTAACGTGATCAAGGCCAACTTTCTAAAAGGATTCAAGTTAAGACTAGAGACGCCACTGAAATGCCCCAGTACAGCTGTACAGACGTGATCGGGTGAGCTCCCCTAAAGAGACGGGCTTCTAGAGCTCTTCGACAAGAACTCCTGGATAGATCCCTTCTATCAACTCAGATGTTTCGAAACTGAACTGGCTGGGAGAATCATCTATCTATAGCTGCATAAGCTAAGGACGCTCGTTTACCTCGTGGCGTACTACCTTGAGAGGTGGGTAAAGGCGGACTTCTATACGGGTTCGTTTATCGACGATAAATGCTCAGGAACTTAGTCCTCACAGTTCATGCAGTTAGTATCCTCTTTTCTCGATAAAATTGCATATCGATATATGTTCGGGAGTAGTGGAGATTCTTCTATGAATGGGGCTTTTGTATAGGCATGTTGCTGCGTGGCTGGTGTACATACTTCTGATCATCACAGAGAAAGCGGCCTATAGACGCACTTAGAAGGCACGCCGTTAGTGCTTATCAATAAGGATAATTACTACTTTAAACGCGGGCCTCCAAATTGGGAGTGTCTATCCTTTTGCTTGTATGTGGGGCTTGTCCTTTTATGCAGCTGCGCAGGTAATCACAACTTCAGTCTACTCTTGCAATTACTGTATGATATTATGATCCATAATTCGGTATATGGGTATCGTATAGAGTGCCTATTACACAGGGTAATTAGTGTCCCTGCAGAGCAGGAGAGGTTTTTATTGATAAAGAAGAGAGCCGGCTGAGAGCCTACCTATATTTTGGTCTAGACCTAGACCTGGGGTTATATATGGTGGGAGTTAACTTATGAATCTAATTTTTAAGGTCCGAGGTGTGATTTGGGTTCTTCAAAAGCTCTATACCACGTAATTCAGGTTAGTTCCTAGTCTGTTCGACCATCTCCGATGGATAGTCGGTTAGTCGAGAGCTGGTTCGATTCTACACAGAACGTCCGTCAAATAACTAGGTGGTTGATAAACGATTCAAGCCTCAGTCAGCTTGTTACGCGCCATTATAAGTCTGGCTTCTATTGAAAAGCATTCGGTAGACATATTACTTAGAATTTCCTTTGGAGAATCACAACCAAGAGAATTTCGATTTAACAGCTACCCAGACAGTTTCCACTACACCAAGACACAACCCTCAGAGAGACGAGATCTCTGAGCGGGGATGAGGTTTATCCTCAACTGAAGCAAGACAGTTCCCAATTTCCTGAGATGTTGGGCATGGCCAACCCTACCATAGTTTACGTTCCCAACGGAGTGCCTTCCGACTATTTGGACAAAGCTCAGGTGAAGCCGTATAAGATACCGTGTAATTCAGTTCAAAGATGGCCAGGGAGCTGTGGAGTGAGGTTAAGCCACATATCGAAGCTGTTCTCTGCGCAGGCTCGCCTCTTAGGTTAAGCTTAGTCTCTATCGTCCTTATAGAGCCTGCTACGCTCGCTTGGAACATGATGATTCTGACAGTAAGCTTCTTTGACGTTTGCCAGGCTTGAAGTTGTTTTTACAGCGATTTTTGTCTGTGAAAACAGCGCATTGGTTGTCTTTATTGTTCTGGAGCTGTTTAATCAGGGAATAGATACCCACACAGTCGTTTAGGTTCTGTTAGAATCGAATCCACTATATCAGCCAGATATGTCCCACCCGATACCAATCGTGGATAATATGGGGAGGGGGTGAGCAGTAAAGAAGGATCTACTGTACTTAGGTCCTAAAGTATAAACTCGAATATAGCACTAGGTGGGGAGGGGCGTGGGGGATACGTTTAGATGTAACCATATAATACCTAGGCTCTCCAACTTACGATAAATAACACACCGGACCTTTCGTAGGTTTTGTTCTACAGAATCTTGAGGGATCTTAGTAATATCCGTATCAAGATTATTTGAATGATCCATATTGCCATCAGGGTCAAGGGAATCGACTTGAATTGGCCTGAGTTATAACTCATCATGTGCAAGTAAAAAAGGGAAAAAAACATGTGTACTACTTGCTGTAGGTTAGTTATACACATACATGAGAGACAGCCTGAGACGGGTGAACTATATGAGGCCTACCATGATTTATATTCATGTTATTGGTAGATGAAGATCAAAGATTCTTGAGAACCTTCTGAGAGGCTCTTGATGTGGGATATCACTGCTTTCTAGGACTGCACTCCTGCAATGCAAATCCCTAGTGGTATTATGCTAAAGTTGTAAGTTAAATCTTTTCATTTCCAGTGTCAGGCCTGTCTGATGAATATGAAATGTAGAAGAGCATGACTATTGAAGCCATCCATTTAGATAAAGGTAAGCCTTGCTTATTCTTGTTTCCAATAGAAGCCGATTTACGAGCAGTCTTAATGTTTCGTCGGCAGATGAAGGAAAAGCATCCAAGCCAGACTGGTGCCTAGGGTTAGATTCGGTGTATGTGTAGAACAGTCACAAAAATGAGCCTTTATGGTACGGGCCCAATCCGGTACTAAAAATTAATCCATCTATTTCTCTGATAAATATCTAGCCCTCCTCGCGAAGGTGTGTCGTGCGTCGTGTCTAGCAAAGATACGGATTAGGTACTGCAACTAGACACTAAGATTCTTCTCGTCATCGAGAGTGGTTATACATGTTTCGTTTCTAGCGCTCGAGTGGGACTAGTGGGCTCTAATGAAGAAGATAGAATCGGTTCCAAAGAAAAGATGGATGTGATCGCGAGATCCGTGTCGATCTATTCGGGTGAGAGTTTGTGTGGGCAAGAGTTGAAATGGCTGTTGGGGGGGCTGCGGGCCCGAACGCCCTTACTTGACTTAATCCACGTTGCCCCTCCAATTTATTCACCCGCTACCCTTCATTCCTAACAGCTTGCGCAAACCTCCGAGCCCCGAAAATCTTTTATTTTTTTTTGCAACTTTTTATTTTCTTCATTTATATCACCATTACTTTACAACCCCTTTCTTGCGTTTGCACGATAGGTACACAGTATCTATCTCCATACCTCCATACCTCCATACCTCCTAGAACCGCTAAAAAGGTAAGCACCGGCCTGCACCTGCCACTTACCACCGCGTTTCTCTGACTTTTGTGTCCTATTTTTTTAGGTTGTCCTCTGGTGCTGCACTTAGAAGCCATAACACACCGCGGTCGTTCATGAGATGCCAGCACCAGAGAATATTCGGTCAAAGTTTACAGGCAATGTCTGTTTCTACACATTCATTGCTCGTTACCGGCAAGGAGTTGTTTTATGGCGTAACATAGAAACCGTAATACGCGAGAACGAGGTCGCCCAGGTTCGCGGAGATAGCTCAACAGCCAAATTAGTTTTACCAGGCAACTCAACACCACCGACGACAGATGCAGATGCTCGAGCGTGTAAGCGCTTTGCGGCGCGTCCCAAAGTGAGGATCGATGATATCATGAAGAAATTGCGACCTTCAGTTCCCACTGGGAAAGATGAACCTCAGTTGAAAATTGAGCTTAGAACGTTGAAACGGAAAGTTCCGTCCAAACGGGGATCCAGACCTAGATCGAATGGGACAGGTAATTCAAGTGAGACTTCAAACCCTGCATGATTCTCTGTCGTTATTTGATCACTGATCATTCCCTTTTCTTTTCTTTTTTTCCTACCAGATGAAAAGGATTCAGTCAATTCAAAACCAAATAATCGAGCTCAACGTCAATCGAGCAGATTGAATAATATGACATCAGTTCGCTGCAAATGCGAACTCACCATATATGAAAAGACAGATAGTTCGTCAACCGAGCAAACACCGCCTCCTCCACTTCTCTACAAATCAAGCGAGCTTTGCACGATCACTTACGACTCTGATGAATCTGCGGCCTTAGAGATGGACGACCATTTTTATATCAAAGCTAGCCAGCTTTATGTACAACCGAGTCGAGGTCCTATAAAACCCTGGGGATTGGCGGAGAGCTACAGTGCCCAGATTACTTTGAATGCGATAGACGTTGATGAAAAGTGGCCCCCCTTCCTTTCTGGCGAAAGACCGCAGGGCAGTAAGAAGTGGCGGGAACCTTTTTACGTTGTTTTGTACTGCACCCTTGCCTCTTTGCCGATGACTTCAGGTATTTCGCAGTACGATGTGTTTTTGAAGTTCGATTCCACTTCCAACGAGCGCTCGGGTTTAAGTCTCGAAGTAGACTATGGGTGGAGCCAAGTACAATCACAACGTAACGGACTTGATCACCAGTTGGCTAGGCTTCCGACACCTACCTTGGATAAGGAACAGTTTTCGTGCTCCAGACCGACATACAATGTTTTGACTATCTACTACTTTCGGGGCTCAGTAGATGACAAAGATTTACAAAGTCAATATGGGGCTCCAAATCCCAGAGACCAACACCTGTTCTCGATTACCGGATATACCTGTCCCATTTGCGACGGTAAAAAGTTTCACAACTTAAAATTTTTGCATTTACATCTAATTACTTTTCACGATCTATTTCATTTTCAGGTAAAATCAAGAGAGCAGACGAAAGGTTTGGACAGTATAATTGAGATCTCTGTGGATCTCTCCAAGGAACAATTGACTGCTAGAGCCAGTGACCATGTTCCTGATCATAGAGTATTTCGCTGGCAGAAGCCGACTACCAGATTTGATCTTGATGCTATGCTAAAGGGTGATTGGGCTTGGCTCAATGAGAAGAAAAGTGCTTCTTTAATCGGGAATTATCGCCGAGAGCCATTGCAATCAAGTAATGGAATTAGTGCTCCCGTGAGAAAAATCAATCTGTATGACGTTCAACCCCTACCAAAGATGAAAAGGCGAAAATATGTTGTTCCAGAGGCTAGAAACGGCGTGAAAGGCCTCGTATTTGTTCGGAACAAAAGTAAACGTTTTGTGCATCCCGGCGAGGAGCTCAGTGAGAGTGACGATGACGTGGACGAAGAATGGTTGAAGATGAAACATGGGGAGGTAAGCTCTAAAGACATTAACGTAATATTCTCATATTTCAGGAGGAATTTTTGCTAACATTCTCCTTAGACTGTTGAAGACTTCAGTGATGTAGTGGCAAATGAACGGAAGTTCATGGTGTTGTGGGATCGTTATCTTTATGAAGAGCGGTAAGATAATTTAGTGATAGTTCAATCGTTTTCAACTCAGTTATGAAATCTTGATGCTAATTGCGTTATCTTCGCCCAAATATAGTCCTAAAGGCAATATTCAAGTCCCACCAGTCTTGGTCCGCTTTGCTAGAGATATGGGGGAAGTTCTTAGAAGCTCAAATCTGCTTGTCGAGTTCTGGAAGCATTGTTTGAATCTCGTGCAGTATCGGGTTATTGATGCAGAATGTTTAAAAGTCTGTATGGCTATCGCGAAGGGCAATAACCCATGGTCTTCAGCTGGTATTTCTACTGTTGGGCTTGGACTTGCTGGCCCTATTGCATTAGAAAGTTCGCAAGGTGTCGTGCCACCATCGGAGGACCCGATGGACCTAGATGGTGAAACTCATGATGGAAAACCCTTTCTAAAAGAAACAGATCATAAGGTGGAAGCTCGAGATTCGGGATTTTGCACCTGCGGGAAGCCATATGAGAGATCTCAGATGGTCCTTTGTGTTGGTTCGGTAAGCGGATAGTAGCTTCTTATTTTACCCCTGAATTCATTATCACTCGGGTTTGGTTTTTGCGTCACTAACTTTGAAACTAGACTTGCGACAGGCGTTGGTTCCACAAATCCTGTTTTAACCTAGTGAATCTTCTTGACGAATGGAAATGTCCGAAATGCATTGAAGTAAGCGATAATAATGAGTAACTACAGTAACACCGGTTTCTGTAGGTCTCAACGCAGAAACCTCTGGACTTGTTTTTGGGTAACTATTGCAGTTGTACTGCTTGTTTTATGGCTCCTGCCATAGTATTGGAAATGTTAATGTTGGAATAATCCACACTTCTGTCTTGAGCTCGCTACCTCAACACTTCAGTTCATTCAGCTGCTGTGAAGCCTATCATATTGTTAGTCTGGCGTACAGTTTCATGCGCTCTATGTTTTGGAGTTCACATTCATATACCTGTAATCATCTGTTCATTTTTACCGTATTTCTTCCCTCCCTCCTTTTTTTTTGGCTGGTACGACTGTACAGTTTCCCTCATCTTTGTTCTGTCTCTCGGAACTCTATTTTCTTATTTTTATACATTTCTTATCCTGTTGATGAACCATTTATGTTGTTTGACAAGGCGCTATCAATTGTTTTACGGGGCTGGATGGGTTTTGGCAACTGTTACTGTGGAAATTAGATACTTAAGTGTTAACTCAACGGCCTGCCCAATACGTGGTAAGCGGGTTTATGAGTAAGTTTGAGAGATATGCAGCTGTACTACGAAATTAAGAGGTAGGCTTATTTTTCGCCGGTAGCTTCATTAGCCTCAAACATTACATAGATACATGTATGTTCAAGGCTCAAAGGATGCATATGTGCGCATGTACGCAGTTTCTAACGAAGTTAACATTAGGAAGCTCTAAAGATCCGTTCCACGGAGGCTTATCGACAGCGTTGGGTTGAGAAATATTGATAGATACACAGTAAGCCTTATAAAGGAGCCTGCCTCTATTTTATCAATATATAAAACATGGCCTAAGGACATCGTAGCGTACGCAGGTAATCAACTTTAGGGTTGTATTTAAAACCATGGTTAAGATTCCATGAGAAGGCTACATATGTGGCCCAGAAGACAAGTCGTATACGTAGGCTTTCCTGAAATCGTCCAGACTGATAGTTCGATGTTTGTACCTTGGTATGCGCCGTTCATAGTCTATAGTAAAAGTAGGAGCTGGCCTATATAGTTTATACGCTCGTTTGACTACTTCTAAGCCAACTAGTCAAGGCACTCATTCAAGACCCTACATTTACCGCTTGCCTCAAGCCGCAAAATACTTACAAAAAAGGGAACGGGGAGTGAGACTTAGCAAGTTAAGTTGAGCGAAATGAAAGTAAAGAGCGGAGGAAGAGAGATAGTCTTATGGTTACATGCAATTCGGAGGACTGTCCTCTACTCATACTAGAAATGATGCTCCAGCGATGATTGGGCTACGCGTGGCGGTGCCCATAATATTTCCATTGTGTATTTATCTCTTTGTATCGCTCTTTTATACTGCTTCACAAGAAGAGGAAGAGCGCTATATAGGCACACAGCTACAGTCTACGCTTCGGTGATCCCGCCTATCTCACTGACTTTGTATCGAAGCTTAGACATAATAGGGCAGCTTGCTTAAGTGGAGACTTACAGCCTTTTCTAGGACGATATTACATCTGCCCAACTGATAGACAGTTCAAAAACCGAGAATGGCGTTCTAAATAATAGTTATCATCTAGCTTAGGACTGTTTTATAAAATAGTATGATACTTAATCGAGTTATTGTCACCGGATCTATCGGGTGACCTTGTCACCGATTATGACTCTAACCTGGTCTTTCCCCTAGAATCGTATACTACCGTCCTATGAACATACGTGCCTGTTAGGATTTCATGGATCAATTAGTGAAAACACTGGGTTACGAGGAGTTGGATTAGTCAGAAAGATTCTATTGAGTTTTATCGGGTTCTGTTGATCGCAAGGGTATGAGTCACTTTGGATTTGTTATCTCTAGGATTTCCTTGGGTATATTAGAAGGTTTCGCCCTCGCTTCTGTTCACTTTCTCTTCTTTCCTCTGATACGCAACATCTTCTGTATCTACACTGTCTATTACTATATAATATCATTTCCTTTTCTTTACTCAAGATAACCACCGTGCTGCTGCTTCCCTTGTCCCGTTGACCCTTACCAACGCTAGAATCACTTCGGACCCCTATCGCAGGCTCCCTTACTGACCTCTATTATCTCTTTCATACCCTGCAGAATACTCGCTACTCGCACCCTTAAGATTACGTTACATCGTCATCTGCACCATACGACATGTTCACCCCAGATCCACCTACATGAGTCCCACTCAACAATATAGAAGAATTCAAGCAGCAGTATGAGGACGATACTGTTGCCTTATTTAAGTACATAGCCATCCTCGTACAACGTATCCACCACGAGAGGTATACTACTCGTACACAACTCGCCACCGCCTACGAATTTCATCGACAACCTCGAAGAGCAGCTAACTCAGCTCAACCTCGACCTCAATATCACTCGCACTGTTTCCGCCTCCACCGTCCCAGTCTCCATTGTCGCTGCTCTCTCAACTACTACCGTCTCTATCTTCAGGTCCGAAAACTTTCCAGACCCTGAAAAATTCGATGGTACCCATACCAAGCTCCCCGGATTCATCACTCAACTCCGAATAAAACTTGTGGTCAACAACGATTGATTCCGCAATGAGGCAGTAAAGATTATCTATACCGTAAGCTGTTTGGAAGGAAGGGCCCTTGATCAGGTCGTTCCATTCATTAACACTAACCCTACTGCCACTTTCTCCTCCGTCACTGCCTTTATCGCCCATCTAGAAGACTCGTTCTGAGATCCAGATCCCTGGGATACTACCCATCACCAACTCGTCACCCTGAAGCAAGGCAAAGGAGACTTTGCCATCTATTACTCACAGTTCCTCCATATCGTGGCATACCTAGACTATAATGAAGGTCGTCACGACATACTGGATGGACAGGCCTAACACTATAGAGGCATATTCGACTATGTTAATGACAATCGACAACTAGATTCTGAGTCGTAAGGCCGAGTAATCGGCCATCCGTAATACGATGGGACAATTCACTGCCCCCACTACTGCTGTACACCCATCCTATACCACCGGAGGTCTCGCTCCAATGGACCTCTCCACCCTCTAAACCCGTCCCGCTCAATACCCTGCCACCGAACAACGATACATCTTTGTCAATGGATAACGCAAGAATCCCACCACTGAAAAACAATGGCGAAGGAACAACAACCTCTGTATATACTGTGTCAACCCCGGCCATGCCTTCGCCAACTACCTCTCTGCCAATCACCCGCATGGGAACCAACCAGTCATGAGAGGCGCACTCCTCGCATCTGCTGATGCTGCTGCCGACCCCGCTGTCCCACTGATCGCTAGTTCCGCCTCCTCCGAATCGGGTTTTCAGTAGTCCCGAGCTTGATCAATGGGACCTGCCCGAGACCTTCTAATATTTCTTCTTTGTCTGCGTTCTCTATCTCTGGCTTCTCAGTATCGTCTATGGAGGATAAATTGAGTGGGGATTATTTTGTTGTTTCTCGTAAAATTGTTAACAATAAAATACCCATTCAAACCCACGCATTAATTAATACCGGTTGCTATGGGTTAGCATTCATTGAAGAAACATTCGCGCGACATAACAACCTCCTATTCCTCCCTCTCAAATCACCTCGCACTCTTGAAGGTATCGATGGGCGGCCCATATCCTCCGGACAGATCACCCACCTGTGTTACCTGCCGCTGTCAATCAACTTGCACCACGAAACTATCTCCTTCTTCATCACTAAGCTCGGTTTCTAACCACTCGTACTCAAGATCTCTTGGCTTCAACTACACGAAGCCACACTACAGTTTAAAGACGATAGCATACTGTTCGACTCTGAATACTGCAAGCAAGCGCAAGCGCAACTCCTCCGCAAAACCCATTCGTATTAAAAGAATTGCACCACCACCCCGCTTCATCAACAAGCTCGCATATTACCCAGTGTGCAACTCCTTCGTCTTCGGAAACGTTAAATGCTCGGAGTGCTTAGCGCGTCTGGCACCGCCAGTGTATACCACTCGAGCCCGGCTCCGCACCAAGAGCACCTACCCTTCCGGCACCGCCAGGAGATATGGCTCACGTCCAGAGGGCACTCACCAATACTCTGCTTGCCTGAGCTGCCATGACATTATCTCCCCCTCCGGAGACACTAGGATGGAGTGAATCCTCCCACAGCACCAATGAAACTTTTGCTTCTTTTAATTAGATCAGTAATAATACGCTAGCACTTTCCAATACTCCCACAGTTATCTTGAATGCTCTTACAGAATGACGAATCCTCTCGCGGCATGGAGATTTTTCTCATGGCACCACAAATGCTCCCACGAATGCCCAAGTGAATGCTCATCCAAGTACTCCCGTGAGTACTCCTATAGCACTCACTAATGCTCACAGACATGAGATATTCGTCATATGCACTCAAGATGAGGTAACTCTTACCCTGCCCCCTTTGTATCTATAATGTATTATCGCTAAGTTTTCTAACATTGGAACGGTTTGATTGGCTGCTGAGTGCAGGGATGTTGATTAGTCAGCACGACACATCAAAGTACTGAGCACTCACGAGAGGAGGAGGATGGGGCCGAAGGCCCCTCATGATTGTAGAGGGAGAATTAAATTTTATTTGATATCCATAATTCAACGTACAACTCGAGGTTGCGAGTTGGCACACCCCTAGTATTGATGTACCGTTGTCAAAGGATAGGAAGTCACCAGTTCCTCAAATGATATCTAATGTGGGTATCCTCAATCATGTTGTATGGTCAGTCGCGGGATACTGATATGAATACTGTCCTGTATACTGATAACGACTAGCCAATCTTTGATGGAGGTATATGTTTCTGTCGATTCGTGAAAGGCATAATTAGCCTTGAGGTCGAGGCCATGGTACGGCTTGTCTGAAAAGCTCAATATCTATTCACAAGCAGCAAACAAGGACTGGCATTGCCCTTCTGTAGCGAGCTTGCTGGATAGCCAGACTGAGATACTGATCGGCCAAAACTTTGCCTCCTTCTTCCAATTCGTATGCATAGCAGAACGACACAAATTTTGAATTAGAGAGTCCAATTG